GATTTATAAATATTTTTATTCAACTAATTATAATAATTATAATATTATTATAATTATACATATTATAAAAAGATTAGGGCAAGAGTGTCTTAAAAAAAGACATAAAAGAATATTGTAGATAACATTCTATTTTTAAAATGTAGCCTATTCTTTCTTCTTCTTCATCTTTCTTTCTTCTTCTATGTCTTTTGGGGTTCTGGGTCCCAACAGACTGGTCCATCCTAAGAGTCGGGTCCACCTAGTGGTCTGGCGCACTTGTCCGATTTTTTTTTTTTTTTCTTTTTTGTCGTAGTGAATTTGCAAGCATTTTTCTTTGGGATTTGTTTTGTGGGTTTGTGAATGTTTGTGCTTCTTGCTTCGTTTCTGTGATTGGAGATTTTTTGTTGCATGGTTTTTCTGTTGGATTGTGTTTTATGTTGTGTTTGTGTGTGTTTGGATTTGTACATCATTCCCGTGTTTGAAGCGTTTATTTGCCGTTTTGCGGCACGGTTTGCCCTTGTCGGCCACCGTTACTTTAGCACTTGCTGTATGCAGCGTTATAATATCCCCAAATATATTAAGGGTCCAAAAACGTAACTTTTACTTGTGGGGTTTTGAGGCATCAAAGTAGTTTTTTCTTTAAGGGACCAATTATTACACAACATTTATGTCCTACACCCCTTGGAAAAAAAATACTGGCAAAACTGTAATACTGGTGCCTATGGTAAGTTAAACCGGATCATTCATGCATGTACATAGGCCCGTTTCCAGATTTGGAAAGGGAGGGAAGGCAAAGTTAGTTGCCAACTAATTCTGCAACTACAAACAACCTGAATGCCAACTAATCCTACACATGACCTTAGTAAAACCACCACATGTATTTCAAATGTAAATAAAGGAAACATCCAAAGTGAGGTTCATAAACAAACGATTGGGACCCAAAAAGCAACAGGTTTATAAGAGAACCAAGCAATGGTCAATAACAGGGCCAGTGGGTAGGACAGGAGAAGCAACTTTAATCCAGTACCAATAGGCCACAAAGATTAAAAGATACAGAAAGCCAAAGCAACTATTTAAGTTTGGACTGAAAGTTTTTTTAAGTGAGGTCACAAGGACCGATTCCCTATCGGGTACCAATAACCGGCACTCAGTTTGTCTGCCCGTATGAATAGATGGCTAGTATCAAAATATTATCAAAATATTAACCCTGTTAACACGTGGGGTGTGATGCGCACCATCATACATCCTCAAAATTTAACTGTGACAAGAACTAAATTTGCAAAGCCTATATGAGGCCTCTGTTTACTGAGATAATAAAAGACTTGTTTCTCCAGGTTTAAGACACTTCACAGACCTGGAAGCTCTGTCCACTAATTATATACTATCAATGGCTGTAACTGAGCAGACCGGTGGAATCAATAACTTGCTTTAACTTCAATCCAGTTCCTCATGAGTTTCTTCTTGCAAAACAAATGTTGGTTTTCACAGGAACAACCCGACCTCTCTGAGCCCCACAGACAGCCGACAACGTGCAGCCAAGCGAACTGCTGGGACACGAGGGGGCAATTAAACTGATCACTTAATACCCGATAATCTGCATTACCTGCCGCAAGTGATTAACATCACACACAGCAACACCACTGCAGAGCCAGCAGGCCAGTATGAACCAACACTCACCAGTTTCTGTGTTCAGATCTACGCTGCAGAGAAAGAAGAGGGCTCTCGTTTATTTTACGTTTTATGGGTTGAATTAATTTAAACAATAACAATGTTATATGTTAAGCCACTAGTTCCCAACCTGGGGGTTGGGATCCCTACTAGGGGTCGCCAGAGCTTCATGGGGGGTCGTGAGGCCTTCTTGATTTTAAGGTATGCTAGAAAACTTTAAAAATACACACAATAGGCCGATATCTCAGCATCTGGTTTACTTCTGTAAAGAAAAGTGAATGTACAGTATATTGTCTAATGACCAATCATCAGGGAGAAGAAAACACAGAATCTGTCAAAAAAGAAGCCTATTGAGTCTGTATGATTGTTAAACATTATAAAAATACATAATACAAACAGAGAATTGTATAAAAAGTTCCCTAAACAGGAAATAATCTGCTCAAAATTCATCCAAATCACTGATTTCACTGTTTGGGTTCATTGTACAGTTTTAATAAAATATGAAATATCCATCAAATATGTCAGTTTACTAAATGATACAAAAGAGTCCCTTAAGGAAAAGGTTGGGAACCAGTGTGTTAAGCAGTGTTGGGCAAGTTAAAAGTAATTGAATTACTTTACTGCTTTCACAAATCATTACATGGGAAACTTTTTACTGCGTTACTTTTAAACGTCTGCTTCTATTCTCTTATTGATGCACACAGCTGTTTATATATATATTTATTTTACAGCTACAACTTGATCTAGTTATTAACTGTAAGCTGCACTTTTTTAGGTTCTTTTTTTAGGATTTAGTAGAAAACCCACACAGATGTACATATTAACCGAGCTTTGCCACAGGAGTTAGTTAATAAATAATTTTACTTGATAAACGGGAAGCAAGCACATTGTCACTCACATTCAACATTCAAGTGCTAGAGGGAAGAAAATGGCCCCTGGACCAGCAGTTTGAGGTCCCTGCCTTCAGCAAAACAATCATAATAAAATATATAATTAAAGAGAAACTAAAAACCAATCATGACCAATTAATGTAGTATTCCTGTGCAACATTGAGCCATAAGTCACCAAACTCTCTTCCTTGTTTTTAGTTGTGAAGATGCAGACATGTTCAAGCTCTTTTTGGTAAAAACTGTGATTTTATTGACAAGCTGACTTAGATTTTTATGCAAAAATTGCAACTATTTTTTAAATTTAAAATTTCTCCCACATTTTAATTTTAAAGATTTAATTTCTAAGAAATGCCAAAAAAAAATTGGAACATGAGTTGAAATGTTTGGAAAAACGCTGGGAAAAAAAGGAAAACCTGGAGGTACTGACGAAAGCCCGATAGCACGATAGCTGAAAACTGTTTTCAACTGTTTTCAGTAACCAGGTCTCATTCAGCTCCACCTCTTCCAACCGCAAAACGACTCTTCAGTGACCAAGGGGGACGTCACTGAGACTACAGACTGTTATTATAGTATACAGTCTATGTTGGTAATGTGCTGCCCCCAATTTGTTTGAATTTGACAGGTGGCCAGTTCTTACATACAGCTCCTTTAATGTGGTTTTGGAAGGTTTTGAAGAAGTTTCATCAGACTCAAACAGACAAACTCAATATGAAAATAACAAAAATTATTAAGAGCTTTTTAAGGTTTCTACAGCACGGCAGAAAAAATACTTGCAATGAACAGTTTGTTTGTGAAGCAGCACCACCTCTGAATAGAACTGTTTAAATATTTAATCTCCTCCCTGTAATGTCAAATAAGAACAAGAGGAGTCCCTGCAGTAAAGCGCAGCAGATGTTTTAATAGAGAAGAGTGACGCCGACGGATCCATACGCTGACAGATTATGAGCACAGGATGTCGTCTGGTAAACAGAAGCTGCTGCAGTGTCGGTTCAAACGGGATCACTGAGTGATCGGATGAGAAATTTAGTGAGCTGATTCAGGAGTTATCTTACAGCTAAAGCCGCTTTACTTTCTAGTTTACACTTCCTATACTCACTCCATTGATTTCCATAAGTAGTAGTAAGTGCATTTACTCAAATACCAGTACAATTCTGAGGTACTTTATACTTTATACTTCACTCAGAGGGAAATATAATATAATTCTTCTTACTCCACATTTTGACAGCTTTTTATAAACAACTAATAAATGACAATATATTGTTCTAGATATAGATATTTATATAAAAAGTTTAAAGAGGTGGTGAAGCAGCGTGGGATCATGGGAGTTGTTGTCTTCACCACCATTGGCGTCACTGCAGTCAGCTTCTCCCGGTTAGGTCTACCGGGAGCCCGTGGAATTTCTATCCACAAGAGGTCTCCCCTCCTCTTTCCAAAACAAACAGACCTGCTGGGATTAAAACCACAAACACACTGAATAAAGCAGTCTCACCGTTAACAATCACTGCTTCTCCCACGCTGTTTGGGACAGCACAAAGGATGTTCCCGGGAGGGGTGCTGCGAGCCGAGCCGCTTGCTAACGTTTTAGCCTCAGGGCCTTGTTTCTCCTGATTAACTTAAGATCCAGGACCGTCCGGGATGACTAAAATCCTTACTTCCGCGTTCAAATCTAGAGTTAAAAAGCACCAAGATCTAAACAGTGGATGCTTAGCTTTAATGAGCACTTTTATTTTTAGTAAGTATATTTTAAGACTAATAAATAAAAGATTTTAGGTCTAACAGAGTATTTTCACTTACTTACTTATTAAGTAAAAGATCAGAGTACTTCTTTCATTGCTGTTTTATCTTGTGAAAAACTTGTGCTTCTACTTTTGGTCATTTTTTGCTACTCACAATTATTTTCAACATTCAATGTCTTCAAATTTTATCCAAGCGGCAATGTCTGTGGCTGCAAATGAATCACCGAAGTAACAAAACCTGCAGGACCTCTAACGTCCACTAGAGGCTGGCTCCAGCAGTGAGTCTCCATAAGGCCCCATCTTAAAACTTTACAGCAGAAATATGTTTACATGTTTACAGCCTTTTGGTATCTAGAGCTAATTTACCCATTCATGACTCAACTCACCATTTTATATCATTTAAATAATTAAATTCGTAATTGAAACAATTCATCAGTTATTATACATGTAGACTGATTACTTTAAAAATCCAATCTTTAATGTCTAAAAGTTCTTGTGTGGAGTTGAGACGTGGTTCCTGAAGAGTTACAGTTTTGGAGATACAATAGTTTTACCTGACAACAGCCACATTTATCTCATTATAGAAAACAAACAACAAACTCCAAATGTCCCTGTACAAAATGTCCCTCTAAAATCTCCTGGAAGAAAAGCAGAAAGTCTCAAAAATACAAATACTGAATGTGCTGCTGTTATTAAAAAATGTTGGCACCTTCCTTTAAAACAGCTCTTACATGACCCAGAAGTGGGCTTAAAGTCAGAAGCATCTGCCGGTAAACAGCTTGTAAACCTACTTCACCTCTGAAGTCTGTGACCCACATGAACAACTGCAGCACCCGAAGATCGAGGACGAGGCACAAAAACAAACGCCATAAACCACCTTAAGGAGCCAAGTTTTAAAAAAGAAAGGAAAGGAAGGAAGGAAGGAAGGTAGGAGGGAAGGGAGGAGGAGCACAGGGGGAATTAGCTTACCAGTAGAGTAGAGACAGCCCATCGAATCGCTCCGCGTCCTGAGGGAGAAATGGCATCGCACGATAGTCCGAGGCAAAAAAAAACAACCAATCACACGCACTCACACACAAACACAAGCATTTAAAGTGTTACACCGCCATAGACAGCAGCGGGTGGTATCGGAGGAGGGATGAGATGAGACGGCGCCGGCGGTTCAAACGGGGTCGGCGTGTGTGACCGGAGAGAAGAGGAGAGGGATGGAAATCCGCCTAGACAGGGAGAGACACACGCTTACCTTTACTCACTAATCCATCCTGATACCCGTCCGTCACACACAACATAAGCACATGCAAACACACGCACACAACAGAAGCCCATGTGCACACGGAAAGGCAACATTTTCTTTCTTCAGCTTAAAGATTAAAGAGCATTATAGTTAAAAACACTGGCAGGAGCTTAAATCTTCAAATGTTGCCTCTTTGGAGTCTCGGAGAAGCATTTGGAGAGATAAATTACCTGTAAACATTACACTGAATGAAGAATCTGTGGCAGGCGAGCTGAATTCAGCAGATTGAAATTCAAATTTCAATCTGACTGAGAGCATGAATCATCACTGCAAAACGTTTGTGGGATTAAAAAGACAGATGGGAAGAAAGAAGGGAAAGAGGAAGGGGGAGAACGTGAGAGCTGCTTTAGTTTTAGTAGTCGGAGATGTCTTGACCTGATCTGAAAGTCCACATGAAACAGGAAGCAGCGAGCAGCAGCTAGAGAGGAACTTGTTGTGTTCCCCCGTCAGACAGCTATAGTGGGCCGATTAGCAGACTCTGCCGCGAGCTGGGACCGAAAGTGGCATCTGATGCCGACAGAGGCCAGTTTGACGTCAGGGAATAAAGTACCGAGGTGTTGTTTTGTGCAGGGTTTGGCTCCTGGCACCCCGGGGCTAAATCAGTTAATCTTAGCTGCACGAGCTAACTAGTTAACATTACTGTTGGTGGCAGTTAGCAACAAGTCCTTTAGTAAACTCCATAAATCACCTCGGTACCGCCGTCGTCACACTGTCCTCCGTCTGTCTCTGAGGTTGTGTTCACACTAACAGCAGCTACATTAGCAGATAGCGGAGGACGTCAGAGGGAAAACCAGACAATATTCTCTCCATAAAATATAATCCTGTTTTACCGAAATCACTGATAAAGGTGTGTGTTTGTACAGTGATAATTCAGAGGGAGCAGGTCTTTCATGGAGGTCAGCATGTTGAACCACCATGTTTCTACAGTAGCCCAGAAGGACCAAACCAAGCCCTGGAGCTAGATAGGGCTTTTCTCTTTTTGCGAGTTTTGCAACCTATTTATCAGTTCATCTGTTTTTATTACAGTTAGTTAGTTTCTCCAACTCATGAAAAGAGCTACCAGGCAGTTGTACATCAAAAAATGATATTCCAATACAACCCTTTAATGTTTAAATTAAGAAATGTGTCACTGAAAATTCAAAGAAATTACATTTGATATAGTTAAAATGGGAAACATATAACTGAAAAGGGAAACAAAAAATTAATTAGAAATGAATTTATTTTATTCATTAGAATTAGTTTAATATTGAGAGTTCCTGTACGTTTAAATTTGACAAACATCCATCAGATCATGTGTCAGAGGAAACCCGAGAAGACAAAAACAGAATAATATTAAGTTATATATATATATATATATATATGAAGTAATTCAGGGACTTTGACAACATCAGCTCTGGAAAGTGACAATATGCTGATGTGTCACACACGAGAGCAACAGCGGTAATCTTGTGATTTCGAAACTTCCTCAGTGATTTGTACATTTGTACCCGAAGAGGAAACCAATTTCTAAATGTGTGTCACTGTTTGACCTCAGACATCAACCATGAATTTTGCTGAATATCTCTGATTCTGACTCTGATGTAAAGGTCCAGCAATTTTTTCACATAACCCGAACTGTCGCCATGTACATACGCTGATAGTACGATGCAGGTGAACTTAAGTTATTTTGTATGTTAAACATCAATAAAATAGGTTTAATGGGCTGTGGTTAGCATCAGGCCCTGTTTGTTAATATTTAAAGAAAACCTTTATAAACTTTAGCCTTTATATCAGTTGACAAGTTAACAGGCAGTGTTGTTAAGTTCTTAATATATAAAATGTTCTCTGGTTTTCTCTCCGATGTCCTTACAGAGTTTACAGAGTTTCCTGATGTACAGAAAGTTTTACTAGTTGCTAAAGTAACACTGACTGCCACGTTAGTTAACTCAGTCTGTGCTGCCCGGACTGCGAGCTCAATGCACCGGGGGACGGGTGGTGTTTTATCATCAGTTGCAAATGAGCTTTGGACCACCAGGAAGAGGAGGTTGTCAGTCTCAGAGTGAGGAGGAAGACTGATGGAGAGCGGAGCTGGTGAATATTAATCTTCATGACACTTAAGTTCGCAGCTAATATTACTGATATTTTATATTTTAACTGAATATTAATGTTTGACAGCCAAAGTTAGCAGCTAATGTTACTGATAATTTACATTTTAGCTCAAATTTATCTGTATGACAGCTAAAGTTAGCAGCTTATGTTATTAATATTTTATATTTGACTTCAATGCTAACTTTTAGGGCACTAAGTCACACACAACCAACTATATCACTTATTTTGGTGAAACTGGATTATATCTTATGGAGGAAATGGTGAGTTTACAGAGTTTCCTGATGTACAGAAAGTTTTACTAGTTGCTAAAGTCACACTGACTGATGGTTAAAGTTAGCAGCTCATCTTTGATCAATAACACTAATTTTACTGATTTCCCAAGGCTACATTTTAACTTAATGTGGATCTTAATGATGGTTGGAGTTAGCAGGTAGCTAGTGTTACATATATTTTGGGCTACATTATAGAGCAACTACCATAGTACAA